CAATACTAAAATATTAATTTGATTCTCGCCTTCTCCTTTTAGAGCTTTACACCCAATGAGCTTTCCAGTTAGCTGAGGGAAGGCACAACACGTCAGGCAGGTTATGATGGCCATTAACTCCCAACTACAGTTTCACAGGGGCTTTCATTTACAATGGTTCTTAGGCATTCACCTTGCTATACCATAAAATACACACTGCAAAATGTGTGGTGACGCTGACGTCAATAAAGAATTCTATATCCAGAACCATAGTACCTTGTTGATTACCCTTTAGGAGGTTCCTTGGTGACCCCAGAGTAGAAGGTATAATTTAATGAAATCATTAACATTTCTACAAAGCCAACAATCTGATACATTCTCTTCAGGTAGGCACTTTCACAGAACTAGCGTAAGTGACTATTCCACATGAAGCATTATCTTTTCTTGTACAACATTGAAAGCTTACATGCTGCTTGACAAATTTGAATTTTAAAAAGTAAGAATGATTGGCACTTGGTAACTTACACAGAAATATAAAGTGGTACGAGAAAATTGCCCATTTCTTTTAGATTTACATTTTATATGTTTTTTTTTCTTTTAAGAAGCAATAAGACATGTAATTTCCATCCACTTCAACCAGTTATGTATGAAAAAGGCTACAAGTTCAGCTCTGTAGAGGCAAAGGAAGTCATGGGGAGAGGCGTCACGCCAGGAAAGAGGAGACCGCCTTCTCCTCCGCCTTCAGCTCTGCTGTACTAGAGATGGTCATTTTCAGGCCAAGCCCCAAATCCTAGGACTGAAATCCATGCCTCCTTAAAACGATACTGTTCACTCTTGGTTCCCCGACCCACCAGCCCCAGTGTCTCACTTATCAAATGTCTCTCCAGGTCTATGAATTGCAAGGAGAAAAAGGAGGTGGATAGGGAAGTAGAACCAGCGTTCATAGACAAAGACTTCTCTCTATGAGTTAGATGCTCCAAACAATTTGGCATAGAACAATGATTTTCTATTAACTCATTTTAGCCAACAAATATTTATTAATATAAAACAGCAAAACACCCCGCTCCGTGCATATGCCATGTTAACATTTCCTTATTGACCTTCATTGAAAAAAAAATTTTTTTTTTTTGAGATGGGGTCTCCCTCTGTCACTCAAGCTGGAGTGCAGTGGTGCAGTCATAGCTCACTACAGCCTCAACCTTCTCGGCTCGAGCAATCTTCCCTCCTCAGCCTCCTAAGCAGCTGGGACGACAGGCATGCACCACCATGCTTGGCTAATTTAAAACTTTTTTTTTTTTTTTTTTTTTTTTTTGTAGAGACTGGGTCTTGCATAGCCCAGGCTGGTCTCAAATTCCTGGGCTCAAGCGATCCTCCCATCTTGGCCTCCCACTTTGCTGGGATTACAGGAGTGAGTTCATTACAATGAACCCGGCCCTTCATTGTAATTTTGAAGATGTATAATGACAAAGTAATTGGTGGCTTCAACTCATAACAACAATGCTATTTAGGGATCCTGATTTTTTTCTGATAGGAACGCTCTGTCATGTCAATTTGCAGAGTCTGTATGCCCTTCATGGAACACAAACAACTGACCTCATGCTCTAACATACATACGAAAATGTATATACAGGTTGAATATCCCTTCTCTAAAATGCTTAGGACCGGAAGTGTTTCAGGTTTCGGATTTTTTCAGATTTGGGAACATCTGCATACATATAATGAGATGTCTTGGGGATGGGACCCAAATGTAAACACAATATATATTTATGTTTAATATACATCTTATATGCATAGCCTGGAAGTAGTTTGACAGAATATTTTTAATAATTTTGTGCATCTATCGCATGAGGTCAGGTGTGAATTTCCCATTTGTGGGAGTGTCAGCACTCAATAAGTTTCAGATCTTAGAGCATTCTGGATTTTGAATTTTCAGGTTAGGGATGCTCAACCTGTACTGTTTTGATAAGACCACCTATTTATTTTTTTCTAGAATTTTCACTGTGACTTTTCTGTGGTTTAGCAGACTTACAGTCATCCCTTACTTAAGATTTAAAGAGTTCTCTCTAGTTTGCACTTCAGCATGGAAATATAAACAATTATTTCTTTGAAAACCAGTCAAAGTGGCACTTTGCCTCTAAGTGCAGTTGTTGAGTTATGAAAAGAAGTTTTTGGTCCTGACTGACAATCACCAAATTAAGAACAACAGGCAGTTTATAACAACATTTACTGTGTTCACTGGGCCAGCAATGAGGTTCGTTTTTTTCTGTATTTATTTGGGGAGAGGGGAATGTGAGGGCAATAACTGGCTTATAGTATCCATCATGGTATTTGCAGCACTTAGCACATAGTAGGGAATTAATAAAAAATGAATATTGTTGATTTTACAGAGACTCCAAGAATGGAAGTAGCTTCTCAAGGTTACTCAGGTTGTAAGAAGTGGGAGTAGGGTTCAAAGTCTGGTCTGACTCCAAGGCCTGTGCTCTTTCTCTCATGACAAACTTGATGGACAGATCAGTCACTTTCCTGACTCCTTGCCTCTGTTTCCCCAGTTACAAGTCACATCCTTACCTTGGCAGGCAGAGGAGGTGGAAGGAGGGGCAGGCAGTATCTTGGTAGGGCAGACATTTGCAAATGCCATCAACCCCTCTTCTGAGGTGGCCCTGGAAGAATCTTACCTTGACTTCTGTTTTTAATCGCGATCCTCCACCTAAGGCACACTGAAATATTAATATGTTCCAGGTTATGCTCTACACTAGACATAGATAATACAAAACCCCATAAACAAAAGGGCCAAGATAGTAGTCCTTAGGAATGTGTTGATTGTGTTCAACCTACGTGAGGCCCTCAAGGAAGGCCAATCTAGATAGGGCTGAACACATACCTAACCTCTGTATTTGTAGTAGGTGCAGAAAGATCCTCAATTATAAACCCAAATACAAGATATCAGCAAGTGAGATTTAACACTTACAGTCACACTTGGAGTTACAAGGTGTTAATGAGAAAGACATAGGGAGAAGTATATTTTTCCCCCGTTGGCCACGTGGCTTCACTATTGGTGCAGAATATTTGAAACCTCAAGTTGTGAAACTCTGAACAAGGAGGGTTTCCTGTATTATGAATGATGTCATCTTTAAGACGAGGGACTTTCAGTGAAATGCAGGAACACTCAGGGTAATGTGTTTTCAGCAAGCAGGAGCTTGAATTTATGGCAGAGGGGAGTGTGTGAGTTGACCAAAATGGAGAATGATGAGAAGTAACTAAATTATGTATGACAGTCTTTACAGAGCAGAGGAAGGAAGAAAGCTTAATGATGTTGTGGTTGAAGGACCAGCAGCAATTGGTGATGTATGGGTTGTAGGCTGGTAAGAAGAGAAATGGATCTATGAAGACCCAAAGACTATAGATGAGTGTGCCAAAGACCAAGTAGTGGATTTGGGAGGGGAGGGAAACCGGGGCTCAGGATATATGACACATTTTAGCAGCAACAAGACAGCCACGTAAAGTCAACTTGACATTAAAAATCATCATCTTAATCTATGTGGCTCTTTCAAGCCTGAGTCTTATCAGGGCAAAAAAAAAAAAAAAAAAACTATAGTTAACAATGAGGGATTTCTCCCTTTTGCTTTCCCGGCATCCACCAAGAGCAGTACATAATTTAATTATTGAATCTACAAGCTGGACCATGAGATGAAGAATGATGTGTCTGTTGTAGTGAGTAATTAGACAGAACCAACTGTTTACTCTCATCATTCTTCCTCCGTGAGGCTAAATTAATATAGTTAACAAGCTTTTGTATGGAACAGCAGTTCAAATCCGGGACGTGCAGATCAGAACTGATGATTATTACGGTAGCTGTTATTTATGGAGTGCTGACAGTACCCTCAAGTATGAGTGAAACAGAAAGGGGTTCTTCTGTCATTCTCTGTGCTAGAACCACTGTAAGGGGCTAGACGTCTGCGTAGGGTGACGAATTTCATGAAAATCAGATTTAGTTGCTTGGGGCATACGACTCCAGAAATGTCACTGATGGTCTTTCCTATTGCGCTATTTTTCTGATTTGCCCTGTTTTGAAACAACTGCAACACAAAATGTGCACAGTATCAGTGGGCAAGCATTACCAGGAGGTAACGTGCAGTTGGGGTGCATGTGTGGTGATACGGCTCGAGCAGGGGACGGCAGGCTTTAGCAAACACCTCAGGCCCTTCCGCACAGTTTGAGCAGAAACTGCAAGCCGGTCAGGCGCAGCCAAATGCCAAATCCAACTTCGAGGCACTGAGCCTCGAGGCACAGCACCCCCGCCGGACCCAGTTCCCTGCCCCATCCGGTGTGAAACTGACCCAGCCACCGGCCAAGGGTCTCCACGGGGACGCTGCGAAACAGCGGGCTCACCCTTGAGACCCAAACCAGGTCTCCCCACCTTCCACCAGCTTCACGGCACTAGATTCTTGGGGTCGTCTTTTAATCACACAGAATCTCTATAGTCGTGACTCTAAGGAGCTGATGGAACACGGATGGTGGGGAAAACCTCACCACCACCACCACCACTAAACCGAGCAGCCCCCGACGGTCGTGCAGTCAGGCCCGGGAGCGCCCAACTCGCGGCCACCGTGCGCCACGCGTGACCCGGGCAGCGGGGCGACCTCGGGGCGGCCTGGCACCTGGGGAGTGGTTTGTGCTCGGGCTGTGAACACCGCCGGCCGCACCGCGGGCTGCGTCACGGGGACTGCGAGGCGTACGGCGACGCCGAGCAGCGTGTTCGCGGCGTGCGACCCTCCCTCCCTCCCGTGAGAGCTCCGGGCCCCTGGTCCCCGGCCGACACCCGTTCTGCGAGCGCGCGGCGTCCGGGCCGCTGCCCTCTTCCGGCCCCGCGGCGGCCCCGCCTCCTCTCCCCACTTCCTTCCCTGAGCGCGGCGGCGGCGGCGGCGGGGACCAGCACCGGCCTGCGCGCGGAGCGGGCACCGGATGGTGGGCGGGGGGCAGCCGTGCGGGTACGCTGCCCGCGCGCCCCTAGCCACTGCCGCGTGGCACCGGCTGCCGGGCGGGGGCCTGGGCCGGGGCCGCGGACGCTGGGGGCGCCTCGGCCGCGCTCAGCCTTTAGATCGGAGAATGCGGGCGGGGTGGGAGCGCTCGCGGTCCCGGAAGTCACTCCAGGGTCGATTTCTCGGCGGGTGCGAGGCCGGCCCCCTCGGAGTGCCCCGGGGAGGTGGTGCTGGGCGTCTGAACATCGCATCCCTTCCTGCACCCGTGTGTGGGGTGGGAATGCCGGGTGTGGGCCCTGGATCAGAGCTGACGGGGTTGCGAGCGGCGTGGGGTGTGCCTGGGACGGTGACCGAATGTGTCTTCCTGAATCGTTGTACTCAATCTCCAGTTCCCTCTGTTTCTACAGCTGGGCCTCAGTCCTCACAGGGCTCTAGTGGGCTTTCAGCCATGCCAGGGGAAGGTGCCCAGGGAATTAGCAGGACCCTTCCCTCTCCTCCCCCTCCCTCGCCCCCCCATGTCTCCCCCTCCCTCCTATGTAGTAGGTACTTCTCTAGCACCCCACAGCGATGATGGATGCTGACCCTTACGCCAGGTGGGAAACCAGGCTGATCCAGCACCTGTCTTTTCCTGTTAGGGGGATTGCCAGGCTTCTCAGTGAGTGACCATGGTTCCCAGCACCGACTCTCCACTGCATCTAGTCGTAGGCACTGCCGCCCTGCACTGTAGCATGTGCCTAAGTAAAGTGTGGAGCCTGAAACAGAAATTTTGGGAAATCCTCGCCTTGCTTTAGACCACATTCCTTGCCTTTCTCAAGATTTCTCCGTGTTGCCCACCCTGTTTTTGTGGTGTCTTCCTTCCTTGCCCTTGTTTCATTCCTTTTGAAAGCGACCACTCCCCTGAAGTTCTAGGACCCCCTTCGTGGGCTCTCCCTGTTGTAGACAGCCTGTGCTTGCCCCTTGTAAACTAAGTTCCAAAAACCTTGCTTTAGGAGTAGCACTTGACATTTTTCATAGTTTCTTCTCATGCAATTCATTACTCAGAGTTGATAACTTCTGTCCCATCTGGAGTAACGAAGGGAAAGGGAAGGGAAAAATTATCTGGTGAATATCAGAGTTGGGAAGGCTTCAGATGTTTTCTTTGAATCCATCTGGCGTGGATAATAATCCTGTGTGGTTTAGGATAAGTTACCTAAGTTCTCTGAGTCTCTGTAAGGTAGGATGGCATTGTCTACCTTAGCTAGGAGTAAGGCTCGACTGACATGATGTATATAAACTTTAACAATGTCTGGAATCTATAGATGATCAATAAATATTTCTTATTTCCACCCTCTTCCTGTGCTGACTCCATTTTGTAAGGGAGATAGGTAAAGGACAGAACAATTTGTAGGCTGGCATAAAAAATCCTATGAGAAAGCAGTAAACAGATAAAATATTGGGGAATGTGAAGCTATAGGTGCCAAATTCAAACTTCTGAAATAGGAAATTTCTTAAGTTTTTACTTAAGACCAGAGACGGTTTAGGGGCCATGTGTTGTGATTTGTGATTGATAAATGTAGCTCAAGTTGCCCATGTTTAGACATCTAAAGGTTCAGTGTGGTTGGGTTGAACTGGAAAACAGACTGACCAAAATGCTTCCTCTCAACTTCTGCTTTGTCATGTTTTTCTTCTAGACCCAACATGAGTGAAGTTTCCTGCAAGAAACGGGATGACTATTTGGAATGGCCTGAGTATTTTATGGCTGTGGCCTTCTTATCAGCACAGAGAAGCAAAGATCCAAATTCCCAGGTAAATGAATTTCCCAGGAGAATGCTTAGATACTCCCAGGCAGAGAGATTCCTGCACATGAGCAGAAAGGGGAGATTCAGTGGACACTTGTCAACTTGAAAGTGCAGGGTCGGTCTGCCTTTTGTGCTGCATTTCTACAAGCTTACTTCTTCCTGTGAGACAGAAAATTGTCACATGCCGTTGTTAACTGCTCCTCGTGCCCCTTCTGGGACCCGGGGTGCACTTTCCTTGGCTTATGGGAGCTGCCACAAAAAAAAAAAAAAAAACAGGCAAGGAGATCGACAGCTCTCAGCACCTGTAGCAGCTGTGCATCTGTTTTGAGTTCTGCAGTCCCTCTGGTTTTATTCCCTGCTTCCCCAGCAGCAGACCAGCCAGTTGCAGGCACCAAGCCTTTGGGCATGTTTCCTTCTAGGTCGGCGCCTGCATTGTGAATTCAGAAAACAAGATTGTCGGGATCGGGTACAATGGGATGCCGAATGGGTGCAGTGACGACCTATTGCCTTGGAGTAGGACGGCAGAGAATAAGCTGGACACCAAATACCCATACGGTAGGGCATGTTTTATGTCCCATTCTGCTTAGTGACACAGCCTGGCGAGTGCCTAATTAAGAAAATTGGGACCGGGTGCGGTGGCTCAAGCCTGTAATCCCAGCACTTTGGGAGGCCGAGACGGGCGGATCACAAGGTCAGGAGATCGAGACCATCCTGGCTAACACGGTGAAACCCTGTCTCTACTAAAAAATACAAAAAACTAGCCGGGCGAGGTGGCGGCGCCTGTAGTCCCAGCTACTCGGGAGGCTGAGGCAGGAGAATGGCGGGAACCCAGGAGGCGGAGCTTGTAGTGAGCCGAGATCCGGCCACTGCACTCCAGCCTGGGCGACAGAGCGAGACTCCGTCTCAAAAAAAAAAAAAAGAAGGAAAGTTGGTCAGAAGGCATCATCTTCCTTTCGTCATCAACAGCTGGAAAGAAAAATATCCTACTGAACTACCCCCGTTTCCTGGCTTTGTCTCTTAAGTTCCAAAGAGAGCCACGGAGAGAAGCATGGTAGTGGTCACACAGGCTGGCCCTGAGATCCGGGGCTCTGCTGCCTGTGCTGAGCCTGGCAGGCTTCACTGGCAGCCTGCTGGCGTGCACAACACCAGAGCATTGATAGTTGGCTTCTCTGCAGAGGGTCACAGCTCCTTGCAGAGATAGCCGAGGGATGTGCGTAGTGTCTCTGCAGGTTCTTTTTTTACTACTGGGAAGCAGGGTCGGCTAACCAGGGGCTGGCTCGGGGTTTGGTTTGATGAGAAGCAGGCTTCATTCAGCCCACGTGCCTGATGAGAACATCTGGCTCAAGCTCATTGCTGGGAAGCGGGAAGCAAGCTGTGAACTAGACATCAGGAGATGGAGGATCCAGTTGTTTCCTCCAGTTACAGGGGATGCTGCAATTTCACAGTAGGCTGTGATCAGACCAAAAGCCAGAAGTGAGGCTGGGCGCGATGGTTCACGCCTGTAATCCCAGCACTTTGGGAGGTTGAGACGGGCAGATCACCTGAGGTCAGGACTTCGAGACCAGCCTGGCCAACATGGTGAAACCCCATCTCTACTAATGTTGACATTCTAACATAGCTACATCTACTAAAAATACAAAATTAACTGGGCATGGTAGCAGGTGCCTGTAATCCCTGCTACTCGGGAGGCTGACGTGGAGGTTGTAGTGAGCCAAGATTGCGCCACCGCACTCCAGCCTGGACGACAGAGCAAGACTCTATCTCAAAAAAATAAAAATAAAAAAAGGAAAAGAAAAGAAAAAGAAAAAGCTAGAAGTGTGGAACTGTAAACCTTCGGCTTGACTGTCTCTGGATTTTCACCTTGAAATTAGCGAAGGGTGCTTCTTAGAGTTTGTTGCCTGTCTGAGCCCCAGGGAAGACTCCTTCAGAGATTGCCTGGGAGGGCCCAGCCACAGCTTTACTTTTCCCTGTGTTCCTTGGAGAATATGCAACTAATGCTGGAGAAGAGGCAAATCATGCTGCGTATGCAGGTTGCTGATTTTTTGTAGGGTTAGGTCCTGTATTTTACGCCTGAAAAGGAACAGACTGGCACTGTTGGAAGTGAAAGTAGAGTAAGGCCATCCAAATGGGAAAGATTGTGCCTTCAGGCCGAGGCGTGATGTATGACCTTTCTTAACTCTCCTGGTAGGTTTTCCTCTGGGCTTTTCTCATGAAGAATTCCAAGTCTACACTTAGTCTAATTTATACATTTTTGCTAATGTTCCTGAACCTCGATCATGTTAAATAAGCCCCATAAATTTCTTTCTAAATTGCCTAGGGGCAACTCCTCTATGTTTGAAAGAAAAAGGAAAGAGGTACCTGGAGGGAGAGGAGGAATTGAGGACTGCAAAGCAGTCTGGGTTTCCAGGGTGTGAAAAGTAGTTTAGGGATGAAGGGGACTGAATCGTCACATCCTTGATTTAACCTCACCCCTCCCTCGTAGGAGTGGGAAGAGAGGCTCGGAGTTGGGGGAGGATAGGACTGTCTTCTCAGCCCAGCTTCAGAGCTGGCGGTAGTGGATGACTAATTAGAAAAATGCACTGACTCAGAGAAACTTCTTGTCATCCTGATTTTGATTCTATAAGCTTTTGATGGTAAGAAAGAAGGGAAGTGATTAGTTGTTTTTAAGTCCATGCAAAGATAATTTTTCACAGTGTGGTTCAATGTCCCATATAAAAATGGTGAAAGTGGAGGGTCGATATGTTAAAGATCTGCATTGAAATGTGTGACGGCCACAGTCAGTATTTCACCGAGTCTAGACAGTGAAATATCGGCCCTTGTGCTGGACTTCAATATGGAGGAATTCTGGGGGGATGGCAGTCTATCATACTCAAGCTGGTGCAAAAGATACCTGTGGTTGGACAGTGCAGAGGGGTCCTGGGTGGGCACTGAGCGGGCCTCCCAATGGGACCTGTGCCTTCTTCAGTCACTGAGAGCCCCCAGCAGATCTGTAAGCTGTGACCTGGAAGCCAAGGGCCGTGCAGTCCATTTGCAGCACCTGCCCCACACCCCAGACTTCCCAGCACTCCTGACTTCTGTGTAGCTGATTTTGTTGGTTATGAGACACTGCCTTTTGTCCAAATTGAGGAGAGTGCCTTTCAGAGCCCCTTTCTACAGGGAATTTTTTTAAAAACCTACATAGGTATTTGTCCAACTTCACTGATTGTTTTTTATTGAATAGCTGCTGAGCTTCTGGGCACTGGTTGTCTGTCTGCATTATTTTTTATTATCTATATGATACCTCTAGGTTTTCAAAGCTCTTCGCCCTTACTTATCAATTATTTATTTATATGTAGCTATGTTAGAATGTCGACAATTTTCTTTCACGAGAGTAAGCTTGTAATTTGATGTACCATAAAAGTTGTAGAAGGCATTAAATGGTTTTTAAAAGGCATTTAGTATTACTACCTCCATAATACAGTAAAGATGGGCTTTAAGTCTAAATGACAATGACTGTGTATAAACTGTATACTTGTTGTCTTCTCAAGGATTTTCAGGCCACAGAGAAGTAAATGTTTGGTTTGCCTGGGATGTCACAGAAATGTTTGCTGATAACTGACTCAAATGCAAAGGCTTTTTTTTTTTTTTTGCTTTTAAGATTTTCAAGATTAATTTAAAAAACAAGGGGATCCTGGCTTGAGTTGGATAGCTCACCCCGTTCTTTCCTCATCTGCATTAATGGCGACTGAGCTGCTGTAGCAGGAAGGGTAACTTCATGGGTGATGTGTTACTCCCTGTAAAGGAGCTTTAGAGATTATCTCGAGTTCTAGACAATGATTTTTAACTCTTTTGAATGTACCGGACCCTCTTTTAAATGCCAAAAACCTTCCAGGACCCATGCACAATACTAAATTCTTAGTATCTTTTGAGTAAGAAACTCCACAATGACAAAAACTACTTTGTATCATTAACATTTTATGTTAATCTGAACTTTACTAATTGGATAGCATTTATGTATGTTTGAGGAAAGTTTATGTATGTCCTGGACATGGGATTTATCCAGCTGTGGATATGCTTGGACCCCTTGCAATACCTCAGTAGTGTCTCTGGGTTCTGTGCCCACAGGATCTAAGCCTCTTCCTTTCTTGTAAGTAATTTCTATAATGTCACACATGCAGGGTGACATCTCCTAATTCCAAGGTCAGCGCTCTTCCTGCTACCTCCCTGTGTCTCTCCTGTGGGGCACAGGAATTCAGCTGTACTGAAATGCCAATCATCGTCTCATTTTTTTTGCAGTTGATCACACTGAGGCTCCCATAAAATAAGTCCTCAGAGATCAGGAGCTCGGGGAGGGGTGGCCTGTGCCTGGCATCATGCAGAAAGCCAGCATGGCTCACTGGAACATTTCTTCAAAGGGGAGTGCAGTGGACTGAATGTGTCTCCCCATAAATTCACATGTTGAAACCCTAATTCTAATACGCTGATTTTCGGAGGTGGGGCCTGGGGGACGTAATTAGGCCATGAGGGTGGAGCTCTCCTGAATGGGATTAGTGCCCTTCTAAAAGGGACCCCAGAGAGCTCATTTACTCTCTTTCCATGTGCAAGGCTAGGAGGAGAAGATGACTGTCTGCAACCCTGAAAGAGGACCTTGCCGGAACCTAACCATGCTGGTATCCTGACTTCCAGCCTCCAGAACCGTGAGAAATAATGTCCATTGTTTCTCAGCCACGCAGTCTATGGGACTTTATTATAGCAGCCCAAGGGACTGTGACAGGGAATTGAGAATTGTGTAAATTTGAGTTTACCAAATAACATACAACTTAATACTGCTTTATTAATTCCGTAAGTCGGAAGTCGTTAGTCCTGATTGACGCCTTGTGGGGAGGAGGGAAACACACACTACTTGTAACATAATAGGAAGATGGAGCTTTTCCTGGGCTGTGTCTCTAGAGAGGTATTTTTAAAGGGTGTTTTTGTTCTTCCAGCCTTGGGATCAAAACTTCATAAAACTATTTTATTATAATGTAGTATTAATGTGGAAAATGAAAATTCCTTCTGCTAAAGAAGCTTTTTATTCCATCCTTCTCCTGAAAAATCCAAAAGATAATATGATGTCAGTAACATTAAGTGGCAGGAAGAAGGCAATGTTATTATACTAAGAATCTTTTCAGATGAATGACAATTAAAAAACCAGGAAGCAGCAGATTTATCTAATTTACCAGATTAAAAAACTTGGGAAGATTTTTATTTTCTTGAGGGGATGGGTGTTGCTAAACCCGTGATGAAGTGTTCATTTGACATTTTTCGTTCCTTTTTCTTTGTGGAATTCATTACAGTGAAGCACATTTAATCAAAATACCAATTTTATCAAATGGAGGTAAAATACTCTTGGTGATTCAGATATCACTCTTTCCTTGGGTTTTCATAACCAATTTTGATGATATAGTTTACAAATTAGAGAGTTGGAGAATTTGCTTGTTCCTATTGTTTAACTAACGGGAATTTTTAGTAATGCTTGCCACACGTATCCAGCTGCCCAGCACTTGTGGCCTTGCTGATTTCTGCTGGCGAAGGAC